AAAAAAAAAAACAAGGCGGCGGCCGCAACCAATCCTAAAATTTTGGCTCTACATAACGGTACCAGGTACCGTACGGTACGTACGTACTGTACGGCAGGGGTCATAATTTAGACCCCTGCTGTACGGTATGTCTTCAAAAAAATAAATATCGGATGGCCCTGGAGGGAGCAGACAACGGATGACATCTTTCAGCACACATCACCGTAACGGAGTCAGATTTTTGTTGGAAAACAAAATATTCAAAAATACCGTACCGTACGGTAGTACTGTACGCACGTTACCGGTAATACCGCTTGTAGAAAATAATACTACGAATCTGGGGATCTGGCGGGATGGAAAACGGACTCTGAGAAACATGTTTGTTTTTCTGAAGGTACGTACCGGTACGAACGTACCTGTTGGAACTGTACGTACCGTACGATACGATATGATGCTCTTTCGTCCGAAGTGCGACGTTACGTCACTGGAATTTTTGCTTCGACTTTTTTGTTCGTCGCTTGTTGTTGAACAACTAAAGGACACGTGAAATACAAATAATCTTCCATCGTCCTAATTTCCACAGTGGCTCCATAAGCGAAAGTGCAGATCTTCAATCTCAATTTAGTAACTCGAAGTACTTGCACAGTGATGAATCCTCTGGTGACGAAGACAAAAGCGTATGCGACTTTCACGACAATGATCGCCGCAGCAACCATACTATGCAGCACCTCTGGCCGCTATGCTACCGCTTTTTCTTCTCGGTCTACCTTCGCTGGATCAGTTATCCGACAAGGTACTTTGATGAGTTCGAGACGAACATATTCAAGTGGAACGATGACAATGAAGTTGCAGACCGCTATTGTCGGATTACCCAACGTTGGAAAGAGCACACTGTTTAACGCCTTGACCGAATCCCAAGGTGCAGAGGCAGCAAACTATCCATTTTGTACGATCGATTCGAATGTTGGCCTCGTGAAAGTACCAGATGAAAAACTTGAAAATCTTAGCGAACTGAACAAATCTGTCAAGTGTGTGCCCACAGCGTTGGAATTTGTAGATGTGGCAGGGCTCATCAAAGGAGCATCTACTGGTGAGGGTCTGGGAAATAAATTCCTTGCGAGCATTCGTCAGTGCGGTAAGTCCAGGAAAGCGTAAATTCAGCAGGGAGAGACCACGACCGAAATTTAAATACCCATGACTCATTTGGTGCTTGCTTCGAAAACTTCTTATCTTATTTTTCTTCCAATTTGTCGTCAGATGCAATTGTCCACGTTGTGCGATGCTTCGATGACGAAGATGTTATCCATGTTGACGGAAGCGGTAAGGTGGAAACGAAATTGATTGTTTCTTTTTTTTTATTCTTTCTACGACAAAACTGACCCAGCCGGAAAAACGGACTTCGTTGGAATGGATTTTTCTCATTTATGGATCAATTTTTTTCGAATTTCGAACTTCGTAGTCGATCCGATCAGAGACGCAGAGCTTATTAATCTTGAACTTGCATTCGCGGATTTGGCACAAGTCGAAGAACGTTTGTCTCGGATCAGAAAGGAGCAAAGGGCAGGAAAGGCAGATCCGGCGGAGCAAGCCGCGCTAGAGAAGGTTTGTGCTGTATTGGAAACGGACAAGCCCGCTCGATTCGCAGACTTATTAGAGGAAGAAGAGCTTGCAATCAAATCGTTAGGGCTATTGACGAGGAAACCAATGATTTACGCGGCCAATGTTGCTGATGCAGATCTTGCCGAAGGTAATGAAATGGTAGATAGATTGAGAGAAATGTCAGTAACTGAAGGCGCCAAAATCGTTGTTGTTTCGGCACAAGTCGAAGCCGAATTGGTCGATCTTGAAAGCGAAGATCGAACAGAATTTTTAGAATCACTAGGGGTATCCTTGGAGGACTGTGGTCTACGGGCGCTGATCCGAGAAGCGTATGATCTCCTTCAGCTCCAAACATACTACACTAGCGGGCCTGAAGAATCAAGAGCCTGGACTATTCGCAAAGGTTGGACTGCACCGAAAGCTGCTGGCGTCATTCACACTGATTTTGAACGAGGATTTATTCGTGCTGAGACAGTGTCTTACGATGATTTGATTGAATGTGGCAGTGAAGCGGCTGCTAAATCGAAAGGATTAATGAGAAGCGAAGGCAAAGATTACGTAGTTCAAGAAGGTGATGTCATGCTATTTCGCTTTAATGTATAAGACTGTCATAGCAAACTAGACATACTTGTTCTTTTCACGAATTAGCCGAATGTTGATGTGGTCGTTTATTAGTATTCTGAGTAAAAATAGAACCGGCTTCGATTCATTTGAAAGTGCGACCTTCATGAAAAATGAATCCTCCTACATGTTCAAATAAATCAGCTGTTCAATACAGAATATGCGATCACAGGTGGTCACCAACTGCTTTACTACTGATAATTACCATGCGAAATGACGTCGTCGATCTTCAAAATCATTTTCACTACTTGAGCCGCAAGTTGCATCTGCTGTTGTTTGCCAATCAAGGTCTCAAACACTCCAAGTTCTTTCATATCCATTGTGTGATCACCTGTTTTACTGCCTACATTCAAATCTGCTCGATCAAGAGGTAAAAGACCAAGTCCAATGGTTGGATTTCCTTCCTTTACTTGCCGAGACTTGATTGCTGTTACTTCTTCAATGGGAGCCAATCCGGCATTCTCTGCTAAGGCTAAAGGCACATCATCTAGTGCATCTGCAAAAGCACGAATGGCATATTGATCTACACCCGTCACAGTATCAGCGTGCTTCTTAATTGCAAGCGAGCATGATACCTCAGCCGAGCCACCACCGTAAACCACACGGTTATCCTTCACAAGGTTGCGAACAACACACATTGCGTCATGTAGCGATCTTTTGGCTTCATCGACAATCATTTTGTTCCCTCCTCTCACCAATACGGTAACCGCCTTTTGATTAGCACAATCTTCCAAAACCAGGATGCGGTCTTGTTGTCGGGAATTGTTGGTTCCCATTGATAATTGCTTCACCTTACCAGCTGTTCCAAGTTTGTCCGGGGTCAACTCTTCGACACGTGCTACTATCCGACCTCCAGTTGCGATTGCAATGTGCTCGATTTCAACACCACCGACCCAACGAACAGCAGGAAGTTCTTGCTGCAGTAAAAGATGGTTTGCTTCGTCGTCAAAACCCCACTGACAAATAACTAAGTTTGCACCACTGTCCTTGATCTTTTGGATCATATCCCTGAAGTATTCCTGTTCTTGATTGTACAACTCATCGTATGCCTCTGCCGAATCGATTTGCAATTTGTGCTTTGTCTTCGGTTTTGGTGGCTCGAGTGGACAGGTCAAGATACACAGCTTGGCATTGTCGACAATGGTGGGCATTTGGGGGTGAGAAAATTCCTTATCCAGAACTAATCCATTCACGAGCTCCGTGTCTGAAAGAGATCCTCCTGTTTTCCCCTCCATTCTGATCATATCAAAGTTAACATCATGGCGTTCTAAATCAGCCACGTCTAGGATAGCTTGTACAGCGATTTTGGACATTTCTTCCTTGTAAGGCTGCAAAATTTTCGAATTCAAAGTTGTTTTAGCAGTGGTCAACAAAGGATCGAGGTAATCTTTCGAGAACTCCACTTTTTCTGAAATCTTTTCTAAATGCTGAATAGCAACTTGCGAAGCAGCCTCAAAACCCCTTGCAATCCGAACGGGATGGATTCCTTTGTTTAGTAGAATTTCGGCCTGTTCGAGGAGGGAGCCTGCCAAAACGACGACGCCGGTTGTTCCATCTCCAATTTCGTCATCTTGAGACGATGAGAGTTCAACCATTAATCTGGCCACCTGCTGGTGAATTTCCATCTGACTAAGAATCGTTGCCCCATCATTTGTGATCGTTACGTCTCCGTCTGGGCTTACCAAAAGCTTGTCCATTCCCTTCGGCCCAAGCGAAGTACGAAGAATATTAGAAATAGATCGTGCTGCAAGAATATTTGCCTTTGTTGCTTCAACTCCTTTGACACGGTTTTTGGCTTGCTGTTCCTTCAGAATGACGAAAGGTCTGCCGTACTCATCTATGAAATTGAAATCAAGTAGTTTGTAAGTAGAGTGATGAAGTGGAGCGAATACGGAACCAACGGAATACGATGAACAACTAAACACGAAACGATGTGGTTGTTTAAGGATGTAGACAGCCTCTTGCACAAGGACAAAACGCGCAAAATCTGTGTTTGGCCATATTTTGATGTGGACGCTTGGGACGCGAGCATTTGTACTGACCATAGACCATAGACATGATTAAAAATTGTTGTTCTCGATTTTGTTTGCGATGGCGAATTTGAGCTCCTGCAATATTGGTTTCACGTTGAGCTGATTCCCTCTTGTGATATGAATCTAATCTAATAATTCGAAGTAGAATTTTGATTGGTAAGTCTTTCAATGAAGGTCTGCTGTCCCGGTATTAATTATGTGGGAGAGCACTCAGATTGCTCAGTCTTTCTCGATAGAATGCCGCGTACGAGTACCGAACGATGCGCTCGTATCACAGTTTTACTTGGTTTGGAAGAGAAAATGGTTGAGAGGTTAGAATCGCGAGCATTGGATAATCCAAGAGAAAGGGGGAGGGGGAGATGTTTGATAGATAAAGGTGACAAAGTAGTGGGAGAAAATGACAGGTAAAAATTTGGCGCGCACACAGTCACGAAGTTACAGGGAAGAAGTCGTACGGTAGGAATATTTTCAAATTAATATTTTTCAAATTTTTCAAAACCATTTTTTTACATTTTACTTCATTTTAGATTCTACAGGGCAAGACACAGGACAGACCACGGTGGACGCGTGTGTATACCCACGCGAGGCCCACCTGTGTCTGGACCAGTCAACTC